AATGGCTGGCACATAAATGTGAGGTACGACTGTTTACTAAAAACACAGCACTTTGCTAACATAATAATGGATGTATAAAGTGTGATACCTGCTCAATGCCAAACGTATAAAATTTTTGGTTTCACGATCAAAAATCAAACATTGGTCAATAGCGGCTGTAACTATGACAGTCCTAAGGTAGCGAAATACCTAGTCGGATAATTGCCGACGTGCATGAATGGTTCAACGATACTTCAACTGTCTCCAGGAGAGACTCAGTGAAATTGAACTAACCGTGATGATGCGGTTTACCTACAGCTAGACACGAAGACCCTATGAAGCTTTACTGTAGTTAATTATTGTTAATTTTTTATTAAGATACAGCAATAAGGTAGTTGATTAAACAAAACTGAGAGCCCTTAACTTAATATAAAATTAACTAAGATTGTATTCAATCTTTATATTGCTTCTTTCTTGTACTTTTTAAGTAAAGATCCTTAAGGTCTTTGATCTTAGGAATCTTATAGATTGAAACATATAAAGTTTATTGAATATTCTTCCCCCTTTCACTGAAAGGGGGACCTGGAAAATTTTATAAAATTATATTATTATAATTTTATAAAGGTGCCCCAAAGGGAAAATGATTAATTGGCAGTTTACCTGGGGCGGGATTCTCATAAATAGTATCTGAGAAGTACAAAGGTTTGTTTAAATTGGATGGAAACCAATGGGTTTATGATAACCTAATTAAGTGTAATGGTATAAACAAGCTTAACTGTAAGACAAAAAAGTCGAACAGACGCGTAAGCGGGTCATAGTGATCCGATAGTTTCATTATGGAATGGCTATCGCACAACTGATAAAAGTTACTCTAGGGATAACAGGCTAGTCACTGACGAGAGTCCATATTGACTCAGTGGTCCGGCACCTCGATGTCGACTCATCTTTTCCTGGGGGTTGTAGTTGCTCCCAAGGGTTCGACTGTTCGTCGAGTAAAAAGGTACGTGAGTTGGGTTTAATACGATGTGAATCAGTATTGATTATATCTACTGTAGGAATTAGAATAAGAATAGCAGTTTATCTTAGTACGCAAGGACCAGATTAAGTGCACCTATGGTTTACCAGTTGTATAACATTAAATAAATGAATGCATGGCTGGAAAGCTATGTGCATAAATGATAACTACTGAAAGCATATAAGTAGGAAACAGAGCTATGAATTATTCTTTTCCTTACATTTTATATGTAAAGGAAATAAAATTAGCAATAGACTATTGCTTTGATAGGCTACCCAATTATCTTTAACAAGATTATTTGGGATTGAACTTTATTAAGTTCAAATTGAGGTGTAAGAATAGCAATATTTTAAGCCATCTAGTACTAAATCTTGACAATCTTGAGAATTAACTTATCAATAACTCCCGGAGGGGAAAACAGAAAACCACCCATTCTATACTTCAGGTAATATATATCCGAAATTAACTGAAATTACTCTTGAGGAAACTTAAAAAGTAAAATCAGTAAATAAATAGCATATAAATACAACTGAAGGTTTTAATAAAATAATTATTAAAAAAGCTTAGGGGGGTGTTTAGAGAGAATTGTATTTTTCTCTAAACATAATAGTCCAGCAGGAAGCGGGCGACGTAGCCGCTCCGCTGGAACTTAATAGTATATAAACCCTACTATTAATTATTCACGGGATTTATTATCTAAAGATAATATTCATTCTTTTTTAAATAATTTACCATTTATAGAATATCTTTTAATTATCGTATGACAGCTTCCCCCCCCGAGGGGGGGGATGCAGCCCCCTAAGGGGGGCAGCTATTAAAATATTTTCCTGCTTCTTTAAAAGAAGAAAAACATTTTATAAGTAAGCCATGAGTATTATAAACAAAAATTTAATTATTTTTAACTATATTGGCTTCACGAAGTTTAGCTCTTGTTTCAGGAGAAGGGCATTTCCCAAAATTAGGATGATTTTCACCAGACTTCGCTTCACTCATTTTTTGCTTAGTAAGTTCTGATTTTACTTTACCTTTATGAGCTTCACTCATTAAAGTTTTAGTAAAAATGGAAGGGCTTTTACCTTTACGGGTTTCACTTATTAATGCTTTAGTTTCAGCAGTTCGAGATTTGCCAAAATTTGGATTTTTTTCACCTTTTTTGTTTTCACTCATTAAAGCTTTCGTTTCGTCAGTATGTATTTTACCTAGCGAAGAACCTGCCACCTTAAGTAGATTATATACAGGTAAAAGTGAATCAATATAATGTTGTTCTCGTAAAAGAATCAATTTTCGAGCTTCTTCTTTTGATAAATTACTAATATCAATGTATTCTAGAATTGTAAGAGAAAATTCAGAGTAACTATGAAAAATTAATGCTTTAGAGATATAATTATTCATTCGTTTTAATTCTGAAGGAGAATAATATTTTCTTAACCGTTTAGATAATTCTACAGCAGAACCGACATATATTTTACCTGATCCCTTATGAATCCACTGATATATACCAGTTTTTCCTTTATTATCGGATAAAATTGTTTTTTTATCAGTTTCCGCATTAGAATAAACTATTACTGTTGCAGCTTTCCCCCCGGAGGGGGGGATGCAGCCCCTCAAGGGGGGGGGCAGCTAAAACACTATCTTGAATTGAATCTTGAATAAATGAGAATAATATGTCGAGGCTTTCCGATAAGAAAATTGTCTGAAATAACCCTCCTAATACTTCTGAATCAAAAATAAAACACAAGAATAGTAATATAATAATTTTAAACATTTTAAATTTTTTATGATTTTATATCGCCTTCTCTTTCATTATTATAGAGTAAAAACAAATTATACTTTAAAAACAAAAATTAAAAAGTATATTTTCTTTACAGAAATATAATATTTTTATAATTAACATTAATTCTTCATTAAACTTATTAAACAAGATCATTTAATTTTCCGTACGGAAAAGAAAACTTTAAAAAAGAATCTTCATGAAAATAAAAAATGATTAGTTTTTAATTTAAGGCTATTTTAGCCCCTCATATAATATATATATTATTATGGGTTTAATATTTAACTAAATTAGTACTTTAATCTATTATAAGCAAAACAATAAAAAATTAGTAAATCTTATAGGTTTAACTAATTTAAAAAATTAAAGAATTTTATAATATACAAATTCTGTATATTATTTTATGAATTATTACCTTTATGTTAAGGTAATAAATAGACAAGGAAGAGTCGAACTTCCATCATATCCGTTATGAGCAGAGAACTTTACGTTAAACTATTGTCTTATAAAGATTAACTTATCTTTAACGGCCGGTGGGGTTAAACAAATTTATTTAAAAGTTCCCGGAAAAAAACAAACAAAAATTATTTTTAATAAAATAAACTTTTATAGCCACTTTAAACTAATAAGAGGAAATAAATCATCACTTTCTTCTACCTTTAAGTAATGATTCAGGTAAAGCTTCCCTACCGAGCATCTTTAATATTTTTCACTGTTAGTGTAATGAGACTAAACTAGAATAATCATACAAAAAATAAAAGTAAATAAATATAACTATTACCTTCGTCGTTGACGAGGCATTATAATTAATATTATAATAATAATTAATATAAAGTTCAGCTTAATATTAGAAAGGTATACTAAAGAATAGATAACTATGAAGAAGAAAAGGATTAATAAATAATGTATAAGTAAATATGTTAATATTAGGAATTATAACTCTAGTAATGACAATATCACTAACTTCTCTTTATTTATTAATAATCTTAATTCACAGATTTACTCTTTTAATAACTTTATACAGTGCACTATTATCATATAATACATTATATGTTGTTCCATTATCCACAGGTATAGGATTATTAGGAGGGTTATTTCAAATAACTATTTTATCTCAAAGCCTAGAAATATTCATATTAATTTTAGGTAGTTTTTTTACGCTTTGCTTGGAACAACTTAATATATTATTATTTACTCCTTCTTTTCAAGATAGTGTTTTAGCTGCCCCCCCCCCCTTGGGGGGATGCAGCCCCCCCTCCGGGGGGGAAGCTGCAGCAGGTATAATTTATCTTAATGCGGAAACTGATAAAAAAATAATTTTATTAGAAAACAAAGGAAAAGCTGGTATATATCAATGGACTCATAAGGAATCCGGTAAGATTAATGTCGGTTCTGCCTTTGATTTATCCCTACGATTAAAAAATTATTATACCCTTTCACATTTAAAACAAGTGGATAATTATATTGCCAGAGCGTTATTACTTCACAGGTATGAAGCATTTTCTTTATCTATACTTGAATATATAGATATCTCGAATTTATCTAAAGAAGAAGCACGTAAAGTGATTCTGAAACGAGAGCAGTATTATCTTGATAATATACTTTTTTTAGAACCTAAACCAGAGACATACAATATACTTCAGACTGCTGGTTCTTTGCTGGGTTTTTCTCATCCTCCAGAGTCTCGTGCAAAAATGAGCGAAGGTCGGAAAGGTGCTCTGAATCACCAATACGGAAAGAAAGGAACTCTTAATCTTAAATTCGGAAAACCTCTCGATGCTGGGCATAAGGGGAAAATTAGTGAAAGTAAGAAAGGTGCTTTGAATCCAAATTTTGGTAAGGAATTTTCTGCTGACCATTGTGCGAAAATTAGTGCTGCTAGAGATGGAAGTTCAATTTTTGTGTATGATACTAATAGAACTCTAGTAAATTCTTTTATTTCAGCAAGAAAAGCCGCTGAATTTTTCAATTGTTCTCATATTACTATATCTAATTATATAAATTCCGGGAAATTGTTTCAAGACAAGTGGACCTTATCTTTAAAAGACTCCCTCCCTCCGACCCCTCTCGACAGGCATAGAATCGGATAACTGGGCGAATAAGCAATTATTTTTTCATTCACCATCGTGCGAGGAATTATATGTAGTATATAAATAATAATAATAATTAAAGTTATTGATTTATAATTTTAATGTACAATTTTTTAAATTTATTATTACGGTTCAAATCTATCTCTGTGGATTAGTGTAATGGTTAACACATAAGACTCATGATCTTGTATTGATAGTTCAATTCTATCATCCGCGCTTATACTTTATTATAAAAATAAATTTTATAAAGTTTATTACAATATTATATTATTAAATAATAATATAATATTATTAGATAATAATTAAATATTTTTTAATAAGTTAATTTGCTTTACTGGAAAAACTTAACTTTCTTATTCCCTAGAGTATATAATACAATTAAGGAGGGGGGAGATTTTGTTAATGTTACAAAACTTATGAGTAAAGTAATAAGAGGGATTTTTACAATTAAGATAATAAAAGTAAAAATCAAAAAGAAAAGATAAGGGGTAATTATTTAAGTTCTGTAAAAGAGTACCAAGAAGAATTATGTGCTAATTTACCTACTTTAATACATCCCGCGATATACTCGCGTGTAAGACCCGTACTTTCCTGGGCTTGTCTCAAAGAGTCATACTTAGCAATTAAAGTTACTTTATCTGCTTTATATTCATACACTATTTTACTTCTAGAATGATTCTTACGCATTAACTCTATAGTTTCTAAGAGTCTTGCTGAACCTTTTTTAGGAAATTTAACATTATTGTTAATCTCCTTTATAGATTTTATAAAATCTCCCGTTACTTCTAAAGTTTCACGAATTTTTTTCTTTTCCGTAAAAGTGTTAACTCTCTTAAGAATTGTTTCCTCAGATTGTTTGTGTCCAGCGTTAGAACCAGCAATTTTTAAAATATTATAAGCGGGATTTAAAATATTTAAATAATATTGCTCTCGTTCTAAAACAGTATCTTTATCACAGTACTCTAATATCTCTAAACTAAAATTTGAATATCCATTTTTTAATAATGCAGAATAAATAATACTATTTCCCTTAGTAGTATTTGAGATTGTATCATAATGAAAATACATTCTTAAACGATTAGAAAGATTGATAGAGCTCCCAACATAACAATCTCCTGTTATGTAATTTACCCATTTATACACACCAACTTTCTTATGATTATCTTTAATAATATTATCTTTCATAGTATCTGCATTATCATAAACTTTTATTGGAACTATACCAGGAAGTAAAAAAATTTTATTCATCGCCATTTTTACTATTTCATGTCAATTAAAACATGAATTATATTAAACTATCTTTTAATCAATTCTTGTTATATATAAATTCGGTAATATTTAATTAAGACCACTTAAAAAAATTCTAATTTTCAGAAAATACTATAATTAATAAGTGAATTTGCTTTACTGGAAAACTTACTTATTCAAAAGTAAACTAATAAAATTTATAGATATATTAAAAGGGGGATTTTGTTAATACTATTAAACTTATGAGTATAAAAGTAAGAACGCCATCATTAAAGCGAATAATCCGATTGCCTCCGTAAGTGCAAATCGACTGAGGGGGGAGGGTGTTAATTACTTATTAATAGGTTTAATGTAATATTCATTTCTAAATAATGTACCGTTATTCCGGCATTCTGCTAGTTTAGCTTTATCTGCTCTGAGATATTGAGAAAGAGCAGTCATTGACTTAAACTCTTGTATAACTTTATGGTTAGAATCAGTTAATATAACTGATTTAGCACTATTTGATATAGGTCGAGCTTTTGCCATTTCACTTAGTAATTTAATATTTTCAGGAGTGTGAGATTTCCCATAAAAACTATTACCGGCTCCTAAATATGTTAATTTTTTGATAGAACTCATTTTCTCTAAGCTTTCCTGGGTATGTTTATAGCCTAAAGAATTACCAGCCACTTGAAGTATATTCATGTAAGGTTTTATAAGATCTATGTAAAATTGCTCTCTATTAATAGTATCATTTATTTCACAATATTCAAGAATAGTTAGGCTAAAATTAGAGTAACCATTATTTATAATAGATGAATATATAATACTTTTACCTCGAGCTGGGCTAGATATAAAATTATAATTATAATACTGCCCAAATCTTTTACTTAAATTAATTGAACTCCCTATATAAGATTCCCCAGTTAATAAATTGGTAAATTGGTATACACCTGCTTTACCTTTGTTATCTTCAATAATTTCCTTTTTATTAATATCCGAGTTAGGATATATTTTAATCGGAACTATACTAGAGAATAACACAATAATATTAATAGGTTCAATAGAAGTTTCTGGACTAATAAAAGCTAAGACGATAGAAGATTCTGAACTAACAGAAGCAAAGAAACAAAAAATTAAGGAGACAATCGAAATAATAAAGGGGGATTTTGTTAATACTATTAAACTTATGAGTATAAAAGTAAGAACGCCATCATTAAAGCGAATAACCCGATTGCCTCCGTTAAAGCAAAACCCAAGATTGTGTATGAGAATAATTGAGCTTTGATAGAAGGGTTTCTAGCAGTAGAGTTAACTAATGCTGCAAATACAGTCCCGATACCTACACCTGCACCAGCTAATCCGATTGTAGCTAATCCTGCACCTATGATTTTTGCGCTTGCTAACATTTTTATATTTTGTTATTTCATGTCAATTAAGACATGAATTATATTAAACTATCTTTTAATCAATTCTTGTTATTTATATTAATCCGATAAGATTTAATTAAAACCACTTAAAGAAAAATCTAATTATGTTCGAGCTAAGTGAAATTTAAAAAATAAAAAAATTCCCCCATAAATACTTTTATTCATAAATTGGTATTTTCAGATATATGATTGATTTACTTTTCTGGAAAAACTTACTTATTCTGAAAAGTAGATAGTAAGTTTTATATACTTTATTTAAAGGGGGGGTGTTAGACTTTTTGTCTAACGTTATAACTGAGTAATAGTATATTATAATCCCTACTATTATATTGAGTGATTTATTTTATAAAATAGATTTGAACGATATAAAATAGACTTGAACGATATAAAATAGATTTCAACAATATAAATTTTTATTGCTTTAATTTAAATGATCCTAATAAAATTGAAAATATAATTATTAATTATTAAGTTAAAAATTTAAAAATGGCTAATATTTTTTTTATTTCTCAATGTATCTTTACTAAATTCTTAAATTTTTTATCAAGCTGAATTGCCAGGGCAGGCTCAATATCAAAATTATTAGATATTTTATTCTGTTCATTCATTTTACTAATCGGGATTAAGCTTAAAAGTTTTAATTCTATAAAATTATAATGATTTACATAATAAAGTTTTATATAAAGATTAAATAAGAAGATTATATATTATAATAAATTTATAACAATGGGTAAAGCGCGATTTTAGTAATAATTTATAACATAGAGAGAGAGGAAAAGTTACAAATACATTAAAAAAACATAAATCTTTACCATTTTTTATTTTTTATTATAGTTATCATTAATTATATATTCAATTTTATTAGGATAATTTTAAATAAAACAATTAAATTAATATTGTTTAAGTCTCGTCTTTTTTTTTAAATAATTATTCACCACACGGAATGTTACTTAATTGGTAAAGTGGATAAATTTTATTTTATCATATCAGAATTCGAATCTCTGCATTTCTCAATATATACTTTATGTATATATATTTTTTTTAATAAATCTTATTATAAAAGATTAATTCCGGATATTAATAAACAATTTACTAAAATGAATCTTTAATAAAATTTTAAATTTATTAATATTGATTATTTTTTAAGATAATTATTTTTAAGATAATCATACCGAAAAAAATCTATAAGACCTTATATAATTAAATAATAATTCTTCTTCTTTTCAGAATAACTATCTTCTAAGATCTAGATTATTTTTTTTCACAAAACTTTTATAAAAGAGTGGGAGAATTCTGTTAATACAAATTAGTTTAATGTGAAAATTTTTATCTTTAATTACAAAATCAATACATCGATAATAAAAGTAAAGAAGAATTATATAAGGCTAGGATCTATTAATTCTGGTTATTGATTAATAATCAATTTACCAATACCTTTAAAAGGGTAAAAATAAAATAAAAATGGTAACAAACAACAATAATGAATCTTTCGTACCGGCTATAATTTATGACAACGCAGATATAAATAAATTACAAATTTTATCTGATAATAGAGGTAAAGCGGGAATTTATCAATGGACTCACAAAGAATCAGGTTAAATTTATATCGGTTCTGCAACGGATCTATCTAGACGATTTAAAGATTATTATTCTCCTGTTAAATTAAAAAAAGCAAATAATTATATTTGCAATGCTTTAATTTGTCACATTCATTCTGCATTTTCTTTATCAATTCTAGAGTATATTGACATCTCGAATTTATCTAAAGAGGAAGCACGTAAATTGATTATTTCACGGAAACAACACTATCTTGATTCTTTGGGTCCTGAGTACAATATTAATCCAATTGCAGGATCTAGATTAGGATCAGTGCATAGTGAAGAGTCAAAAGCTTTAATGAAAAAACCTAAGTCAAAGGCTACGAGAGCTGCCCCCCCTTTGGGGGGCTGCATCCCCCCCTCCGGGGGGGAAGCTTTAATGAGTAAAGCTAAATCTGGAGTAAATCATCCTAGAGGTTCTTCTATTTATCAATATGTGAGAGATGGCTCACTTGTTAATACTTTTCCTTCGACAAGAAAAGCCGCTGTATTTTTCAATTGTTCACACGATACAATTGCTTGATATATTAAAAACGGCAAATTATTTCAAAATCAATGGATTTTTACTACTTTTAAAGATATTTCAACTTCTTCTAAAGGTACTTCAGATGGCAATTAACTAGTGTTCCAAATAATTCACTGTTTATTTATTAGCAAATGATCCATGGGTCGTTTCAGCTAAGTTTATTTAATAAACTTAGTTTTTTTTTAAACAAAGTTTATTAAATAATTCATATTCCTTAATTAACAAAAACTGCAACAACACTTGAGTGGGCAATTATGTCTCCTTCTGCGTTCCATGCATTTGATGGTCAATTACCTGTACAATCAGTTAACACCCCCCGTCGGGTCCTTTATCTTAAATTTTATGTAATATAAAGGATTATAGCTTAATCGGCTAAAGCGCAGTTTTGATAAGACTGATAGTAGAGGTTCGAGTCCTCTTAGTCCTAAATAATAAGTAAAACTTATTTTTCACAATTATTTAGTATAAAGTTAATTTATATCTTAATACGTGGATATTTATAATTTATCTAAAATTGAATCTTGTTCATTGAAGGGAGTGTTTAAAAAATTTGATTTTTGTAAATGTAAATGTTGATTTCTAATCAAGTAGTTGATAATAGTATATAATTCCTACTATTATTTGGGTCCTTATTTCTTAGATGTAGATAATATCCATTGTTTTTTATATAACTTATAACTAGAAACATAATTCATCATTGTTTGTTGGGTACAGTTGAAATATTCAGCTACTTTAATAGCTGCCCCCTTGTCACCCACTTTTAGTCTGCCCTAACGGGCCGACTGGGCAGTTTATTATTTTTATAAATAATAAACATTTTATAAAAAAGATGGGGCATAGCCCAGTCTGTAAGAGTTGCTATAAAGCAAAAAGAATATAAATAATGTATAATATATAAATAATTGGGGTATCTACCAAATCAGTGGAAGATTATCTCAACGTGAAGAGAGAGAATCGAACTCCCTATAACCTTTCGGTTGCTTAATTTACAGTCAAGTTAGTATCCTATACAATTCCTCCCTATTAAGATTTAGAATAATTTTATTGAATATTCTGACCTTTTATTAAATAAATTTTCAGTATCAAGGTTATATAATATAAATACTAGGGTTAATTTTATAATTAATTATAAAATTCCATATCAAACTATTTTTATAAGTAACCATAATCTATTGGCGATCAATTAAGTCATTTTTTATTATTTTTAATCTTCTAAAAGGTAAATTAAAATAGATAATAACAAGGGATTATAGCTTAATTTGGTATAGCACATAATTGTCGATTATGAGGATATCGGTTCGAATCCGTTTAATCTCGATAGTCGAATTTAATATAAAAAAAAAAAGAAAAGTTCAGTTTTACCATAGGAAGGAATATTTAGTTATAGATATCTATAAAAAAGATAATTAATATTTAAATTAAATATGTTATTATTAGAAATTATTACTCTAGTGGTAACATTCCCACTAGCTTCTTTTTATTTAATATAAGGATTTGCTCTTTTAATATTATTATTTAATGTATTATTACTATTTAATATATTGCCCCCCCGGGGCGGAAATATTAAAAGAATTATTTCAATCAACATTATTATATTAAAATTTCAAATTATTTACTAAATTTTATTTTTTTACAAATATTTATTAAA